AAAAACTGAATACAAAGTAACAAGCTAGACTAGAATTAGGCGTTGTGACTTAATTTTTTTTTTTTTTTTTCTCTTTGCAGGTAATAGTTTAAAAACTGTGAAAAAGATTTGCAATATATCATAAAAATATTGTTTTGGATGTAATCTTGAAGGGCCAGTCCTTCAACTCTCCCCAAAGCTAGAACTCTTGTTTGGTTTGATTAATTGGGAAATAGTGGCTGAATTGTGACAGAGGTTAGCTTGACAGATTATCTGGACTGCAGGACATTGACCTGATGCACAGATCCACAGATTATACTGTATCTATACTAATCCAAGGTGGGGGATGGCTTTGTAGGAAATGGGCATCAGCAAGTAGTCACAGTGTACTTATGCATCTACAAGATTGCCTATCAATTACTGCTGCTTGGTATAAAAAAAAAAAACAGATTATTTGGAGAAAAAAAAATATAGCTGGGATGCCCTTTTGTGAAATAAATGCTTGCCCATCTTAAATTGTGTTATTATACAGCTCCTCACAGCAGCAGGAGAACGCTCCATTGATTTGAATGTAATTTCAAAACGTTCTACCGGTCATTATTTTCTATAACGGACCTCTCAAAACAATAATGACCGCTGCCCATGGCAACGCACTCTCTGCTTGTCTTTCAAATGCGTGGATAACTCCGCAAGTAGTTCCGGCCACTCCTGAGCTAGCCACGCTCAATCAACACACTTAAATGTTAATCGGAGAATACTTATACATATACATTCTTCACACACGTGCACGGAAATTTTCAGAATTTTCTGGTCTTGTCTTTATGACAAAAATACTATTTCTCTGCGCCAAAAAGCGATCGTGAAAAACCCGGAAATAGTTCTGGCCGCTCAATAAACGCAAATGCCAATCAATCAACGCAATGAAATGTTAATCGGAGAGTAATTTATACATATCCAGTCTTAATACAAGTGCACGGAAGTTTTCAGAATTTTCCGTTTACGTTTTCATGACAAAAACACTGATGTAATGCGAGAAAAGGCGATCCCGAAAAACCCGGAAGTAGATACCGGCACATTTTAAATACCGGCACATTTTCGGACACATTTGCAGAGGATCGAATTATGGATTTAGGTTAGGTTTATGTATGGGTCACTCACCGCTGATATTCAGAATTCTTTGTTCAGTTTTCATGCAGTTCCAGAGAGTTCTAGTTTGGAAGTTGCCAGCCTAACTGTTGCCCGCGGTTGCCGAGCAACGGGAAAACTTTTTGGGACTACTTTATTTGTTGTCATTAAATAAACTTTTGGCATTCATAAAAGTGATCTGAAGTTTATTTTGTGTGTTAAGTTGGTACAAAGCAGTATAATAAGCGGGATAATGTATAGCCTACAGGTCATTATCGGAAAATAAGTACCTTCAGGGCGGAAGCATACCCCTCCGCTGCGCGTCGTGGTCCGCTTCGCCCTGTCCGTACTTATTTTCCGATAATGACCTGTAGGCTATACATTATCCCTTACTTAACTGCACTTGAGGTCATGCTGTTTTTGTCCCTTCTGTCCTCCCACACACCACTCAGATATTCACTTTCCGTTTAGTATTTGTGTTCAACAAGGGAAATTCTGCACAATCGATTTCTACTTTTTCTCCCTTAAAAGAAAAACCTCTGTTGCTGTATGCTTCTGGTCCATCTGCACCGTGAGCATCATCCAATGAGTTTTTATGCACCACGTTACCATTAAAACCTTTACTACTTGTCAGTAGCCTGGTCTTACCATACCATATCGTACTCATTACATTTCATACTAATGTCTGGATTTGCTCCATCGATTTCCGTTAACAGGTGGGAGGGGTTAACTTCTTTTGCAGATTGAAACAATTGGATCTTGCCGTGTTGTATGTAATGTGCCCTAGTGAGCTAGCATTTAGCCTAGCTTTAGCCATACCCTTTGCCACTAATGGAGCCTGTCGGGTGTAGAGCCACTACATCTTTCTTTGCCAGCATTGAAATTTGCTAAACATTCCTCTTGCTCTGGCTTCAATTTTTTGATATTTGTGGTCCGAATCAGAACAGATTACTTTACTATCGCTTTCGCCGCACACCCATTAGTTCCGGCGCAAACCCTTGAGGACACAAAACCTACCTACAACACCTACCACAGTGAGTATGAACAAAGGGTGAATGGTCCTGAGAAACAGGCCTGCTCTCTGTCGTGTGTGAGGACGGGGCTGTGGATCACACGCAGGTGCAGTTATTTCTGAACGGAAGGAATGAGCCGCTCACTTGGCGACATCAACTGTGACACTTTTGTGGGAATGGGAGCTCTCAAACCTGAGCTCAGAACATAGTGGTGTTGTAACTGCTATTTCTCTGATTGAAATATGCTGTGTCTGCTTTGAAAACTGAATGTGTGAATGTGTAAAACAGAAATCACATGCAAAGAAGCCCATGTAAACATGCTGTACAAAACATTTTATTCAGATCATTTCAGATTTTGGTTTCAACTTGTTTTTATCATCTACATCCAGAAGAAAATAGGAGCTTGAGGAGTTTCCTTTTCAATATGTCAATAGGAGCCAGTGCGAGTTGTAGAAAAACATCATCCATGAGCTCTTCCCTATAAGGATTGACACAAAAGACTGCAGGACACCATTTATACTGCAAAACATTGCTAGATATGGGGATGATTTGATTTGCTTCAGAGGTTTTCCCAGAAAACTCATCAGAAGTAAACTATACGTCTCTGTTCTTACTTGAAGGTCAGAGCCGCACATGAGCATGTTTTCCTGAACTGGCTGCAGGACTGCTATAGTTGCTCGTATTGATGGCATACAATATTTACCATGCTTTGCAAACTAACAAAGAAAAAAAACCAATCTATAAATCATATTTATTGGTCCTTTGTGTTTGTGTCATCTACAACTCTCCAGATTGTCTCCAACTTTATGGGAAAAAAGCAATATTTGAACGAAATGTTTAAAAGGGAAATCTCCAAATGTTTTCTCAGCTCTCACTCAGGCCTCCAGCTCTCAGTATGTCAAATATAAAATGTTTTGTAACAATATAAAAGGCAGCATGGTTTGGTTTTTTTTGTTTCCTAAAATGTTACTTAAACAATACTTTTCTCCTGGGACAAAATGTGTTCATAAAATACCAAGTTAGTTACTGCAGGTATATTAGGGTTATGGTCGCTATAGTTCCACGACTTGTGGTGACTTTGCGCGTGCTGCTGTCACTGACACATTTCCCAGCTGAAGCCAGGGATTCATGTCCGCTCTTCGGAAACTCAACCAGAGCTTAAAATAACCTGCAGTTTATTTAACCCTTTATGAGCCGGCCCACTGCTTAAGGGATAAGAGACTGACAGACCAACTGCTGCACTTTACGCTGAACATCCATATATTTTTGATTTTAGCTTTGCTTTGCCCTAGTGTCTCTGTTCTCCAGTATTAGCTTGATTTGTTTAAATGATCAAAAGGATTTCATACTGCAGTACTTAATAACTTGACAGTAGTATTTTTCGTTATTAATAGTATTTGTGGTCTTTTGTTTCTTTGATAGCTCAATATGATTGGATAATGAATCAGTTGTTTGATATTGTTGAGTATTTTTCAAAACTTTTCAATATCTTACTCTATTGATTAGATTATTTGATTCAAATCATGAAAATAGTTTGATAATGCAAATGGCCAACAGGACAGTTTCTCTCCTCTGTTCACTTTAGTTACTGTGATTATATACTACTTTGTGATTCTGATTTTACGTTAGCTCATACTCCAAACAGAGCTGACTTAACAAATGCTATTGGAAACTGACAAAAATGTGTCTTTTTCAATTTGTTTTGTTTGAATGGGTTAGATTATTTGCAAGTGACAAGTTCCTTCCTACTGTTGGGGCAACAGTAGCTTAGTTGGTAGAGCATTGGGCTTTGAGCCTGAAGGTCGTGGGTTCAAGCCCACCGTAAGACCTACTTCACGACTCCCACTGATGACTGCTGTCGTTGTGTCCTTGGGCAAGACAATTAACCCCACTTTGCCTGAAGCCCCCACTGAAAGATCTCAGCTCCTGTGGACTCACCACCTGCAGGAGGATCAATGAGGGGCTGGTGCTCTGTGTACTGGGTGGCATCTCTGGCCACCCCCCCGACCCAGAAATGGATTAAGGGGAAGAAAATGGATGGATGGATGGAAGTTCCTTCAATAATCATGTGCTATGGTGTCAAATGTGATTTTTAATCATGTTACAACATTGTTCCCCATTCAGTCACAAACCTGGAGTAGTTTTTAGATCTATACTGTTATAATAATAATTCCCCATTGTGGGGATAACTTTAGTTTCAGATTGGTCACATACTAATATCTGGAACTTGCCAACTGGCGCAAACAAGTAGCTACACCCCTTCTATCTAAAAGCCACATTTATGTGATGGTTGAAACGCGGACGTTCTAACTTCCCACTCGGAAAAAGGTTTTGTATTGTTGCTGCTGCATGTGTGTATCACCAGCTTCACCGGCTCCTCATGAACCCTTTGGCGTTGGGAAGTTGTAAGATTACGTTGATATTTCAAACTCAAGCTCATAGCAGTTGTATGTACAGTATGTAAGGAAGGGGTAAGAAAAAATGCTTGATTTTAGTAAATACGTTTAAAAATTAGGCCAATGGGGCAAGCTCAAATGTCTAACACTGTTTTTTTCATCCACTAACAAGCGCGAACAAATAGATTTATATCTATAAATTTGCCATTTGTACCTGTTGAAACTACTGTTCTTTCTGCTCTACGTTTATAATACTTCTATAATATTCACACAGGCACCAGATGAAAAAATGGTTGTCTGTTATATCAGTAATTTGTTGTAATAACTTTTAGAGGAAATATTTCTCTAAATTTTCAGTAGGTTGGTTGTCTCTACGTGTGCCGTCTGCAGCATGCTATGTCTTCTTTAATACTATAAAGCAAAAGCAACATGTTTTCTACCTGTTTTTGGACTTTTTTTGTTTCATTTGTCTTAACTCTTAACCCAGCATCGAAAGTAAGCACGAAGTTACCATCCTCAGCGGACTCAATGAATTTGTAGTGAAGTTTTTCGGACCACAGGGGAGTAAGTATTGCACAAAACAAACTCACCACTGTCACTGCGGAATATGAGGCCAAAAAGATTTGAATAAGAAAAAGAATGTAGCCGAAGCTGCTGTTGTTTTGGCATTATTTATAGAAGATGTTGTTGATGATGATGTTATTGAAAAATTAATACAATAATTGGTTTATTCAGTTGATATTTTAGTTAAAACGGAAATTACTTCACTATAGCATAATTGTATACATAATTCTGTAATCATACCACAATTTTATTAATGAAAGCATAAAACAAATCAAAATCTTTTGCTATAATATATTTGAAAGATGTTTATGTCTGGTGTGTTTTGAGATAACTATAGCCTATCCATCATGCACACTTTAAGGTTAGGGTTGGGACAGCTCTCATGGTTGAGCTTGCTTCAGGATGAAATACCAAGTTTTTTTGAGAGTCCCTGGCCGTCCCGAGGCCAGACCAAAGGAATGTATAGACAATGCGCCAGATCAGAAGAACTGGAAACGCACTCAGCTCAAGCCTCCACACATACACACAAACTACTGAAGCACTCATGAAAATTACATGTTGGCCTGGCTAAGCGAGCAGGTTTTATTTATAAAGCACTGCACATTTCATACTGTGGCCTTACAATAGTAAAAGGACATTATGAATTGGATAACCACAATCTGGACAATAAGCAGATACTTCTCTAGTCTCAGTACAAATTGTGAGCAGAATTAATTTATTTTTTGAACGCAAAGAGATTTCTTTAACATGGATTTGATCATTGTCAAACTAGAGGCCTGTCTTACTTTTTCAGAATGACCGTTCCAGACCCTACTATACAGAATTTCTGCGAACCGGTCTTACCGCTCTAGTTCCGGTCTAGGTTCCATACCTTGTGATGCTTTTTAAAGCATCTTGTAACTTTACCATAGCACTCAAACGTTGGACATATGAATGCACACGATTTATTGCTAGTTAGGGGTAGAGTTTGCATATCCCACTGTACCAACTGGGAGAATGCATACAGTAGCCCGTCCCAAGCTTAGACTTCCCTATCAGTAAAGTTCCACTTCTGTTTTGCACCCCTTGTGTCCAGCGCCGTACGAGGGAGGCGTGTGGAAGGTGCGAGTAGATCTTCCAGATAAATACCCTTTCAAATCACCGTCGATAGGTAAGCACTGTGGCTTACCATGGGAGACGTGGTCCTGCTGTCAAATATAAATATTGCTTTCTGCTTTTTCAGGATTCATGAACAAGATATTTCATCCCAACATCGATGAAGCGTAAGTCTTAACACAATTTTATCTATTTCACTTCCTTACCATTGATTTGTCTGATTTGAAATCACCAAAAATATTTGAATAACAACTAGAATAGCGTTTGTAGATCACAGACCAGTTCCATTTCTTTAAGGTACATTGTGTAGTTTTTACTCCCATCGAGCGTTGAGATAATTTATTGCAAGTTTACTACTATCACCAACACTACGGAAGCCTTCGAAGACCATATGTCATGTTTGACAGTGGTCCCCACCCAGTAATTCACCGGACCACTAAGGAAAGAATCCTTTAGTTTGATAAATTACCAGATCCCTTCAAACACTTCCACGCCACAAATGTGCCTTGACTGTTCTGCGTTGTGTCAGAACATCCAGAGACCTGTGTGTAGATTCTGCCTCATTCTTATTACTAAGTTAAGACAGTTACTGTTGGTGTGAAAAAAGTTACGTAGTGTTCACGTGTGAGTCTGTTGTGTACCAACTACACCATGTGCCTCCTGTTGTGTTAATGCTGCCTTTCAGTGCGTGTGGTTTGCCATGTTGACACTTTGCTGTTATGATGCTGGTTTCTAGATTTGTACATATTTTCTTACATCGTTCTTGTCTATAGCAGTCGTCCTCCATGATCCCTTCTTCAAACTTGTGAGGGAATCTATGAACCTGTGAAACAAAAACTCGATTCTTGCATCCTTTTTGTCCCTTATCAGCCAACGTATTTCAAGATAGCGCATTGACTGTTGCACTGAGCCAAAGCAATTTCCAAGTCTGTGACTTCCTGTTACTTACGTGGCAATAAAAATTATTCTGATTCTGATTCAGACACGGAGAGCGTCTTCTCTCATGGACATTTATAATTCAAATTCTAAGTCTATGAAAACAATTAAAAAAACATGTTGGAGGAAGATATTCTTTGAAAGGTCAAAGAACTGAAAAAATTAAACATAGAACCTTGAAGAAAAATCAGAGGGAGTTCCAGATTTACTCCAAAATGTCATCATTATTCTTGTTGCTAAAAATACTTTGAAAATGTATTTAGTTTCAGAATACTGAATGTTTTTTTTATAGTATTCTGTTACTTTGGAAAAAGTAGTATTCTGAATGCATGAAGACTTTTATTTATACTTAAAATGTATTAATTTTTGAATTATTACAATTTATTGTAAATTAATTTTTATTTGCAAAACTTGCAAATATACATTTAGAAGTATTTGAAACCACAACCTCAATAAAAGTTTAAATACATCTAAATAGATACAATTTTTTTTGATAATTTATTTATTTAAATGTGTTGTTTTTTTGTAAAACAAGTCAAAGTGTTTCAACAGCTGCCATTCAACAATCATTTAACAATCTTTAAGAATACGCAACTTTTTATTTAATTTTTTTAGTCTTAACAACTCATTAATATTATTCTTAATAATAATTAACAAACTAACTGTTCCTAACACTAATTAAAATATGCCTGAATTATCCCACTGAAAATCCAGTTTGTTTTGAGAATAATATATGGAATATCTATGAAGAAAGTTTTTTTCCCTTTAAAAATATACTAAAACACATACAAATATTGGTTTGTTGTTCAATTTTTTTCATATTATATAATATAATATAATATACATACTCCCTCTGTATATACATTTTTTCCAAACTGGATTGCTCCGAATTGAAAGTCTTTATAAATCTAAATGCATGATAAGTCTTGTATTGCTCTGGAAGATACCTTGTTCATGCCTGCTAGAATTATACACATACTTTTCCCAATATCCACAATCCATCATTTAATTGTCCATTAACCAAAAAGAACATGTACAGTAGAAAGCTACTTTTGTAACATATTTATTTGTAAATGACTTTTGTGTTTGTTTTGTTCTTCTCCTGCTTCTAGATCAGGGACAGTGTGCTTAGATGTCATCAACCAGACGTGGACAGCCCTCTACGGTTAGTGCTTGTGACATATTCCTGTCTGAATAATCACAAATAAACCTCAAATGGTCTTTGGTCTTTAAACAACAAATGTGATGCATTATTTGTGTTGATGCTTTAAGGAGACCTTGGTATCGTTACTTCTGGTTTTAGTGCCTGAAACAATTGTATTAATGATTTTGCAGAACATCCCACCTTACTTTTTCCTGGGCCACTCTTTTATATTATTTTATAAATAATACATAATAATAAATATTTATGAATATATATTTTATAAATAATATATTATTTTTATTTTATTTCGGTCTTCTCCTGTCTTTCACTTCTGCTCGTTTACCTCCAGAACATTTTTGACTTTCAATGATCTTTCATTTACGCTTAAGTCACAAAGAACTGATCTAATCTGCTAAGCGGCTACAGAAACAAACTCTGAAATCCACTGGGCATGTGCAGCCGAAAAAAGGGGACGTGTGATTGGGGCTGAGCATAATGACGGACTTTTTGCACACCCTGACTGATCCAATTTATGCCAAATGTAACATGTACATTTCTCCATTGTGAAAAATGGTGCAAACATCTCCCTAAATACCTTTTTATGTATGACAAATGTAATAAGTTACATAACTAGTAGAAAGCGGACTTGAAGATAAGTGAACCATTATTTGTCCCATTGTTGCAGCGCACATACAGGACAGTAGTAAGAACACAAACAATACATAGATCAGTAGCTGTAAAAGGTTTATAATAGGATCACTAAATATATGTGTATAGATATATGTGTTGAATGTATGTATGTACAGTATATATACAGTACATACAGTACATACATTTACAAGTAAATAACTAGTCTCATCATTTATAATGGCCAAAAATAATGAATAGTATTGAATGCTCTGCGTACATGTACACAAGCATTCGCACAAACTCACACAGACACACACACTTACACAGGGTAGGTGACGGTGACCTTAGGGTATTACCTCATTAGTGGGCACCTCTCCCCTCACTAAGAAGATTAGGGTCAAAGAATGGCTTCACGTGACATCACCACATTCTACTTTATCCAAAGATTAGAATGAAAGCGCCCTTTAGTTTTAGCCCTTTGTGGTTAAAGCTACTGTACCTGTTTTTCATTTGTACTGTTTTGGTAGGGGAAGGATTTTCAATATATGCATTTAAATTCCCTCATCGTATAGTGCTTCTCCTCTGACTGAGCTGAACCTGACTCTATGTGTCCGGTGTTTCCAGATCTGACCAACATCTTCGAGTCCTTCTTGCCCCAGCTGCTGGCGTACCCTAACCCCATTGACCCGCTGAATGGAGATGCCGCCGCCATGTACCTGCACAAGCCCGAGGAGTACAAGCAGAAGATCAAAGGTACCACGCTCACGCACAAGTCACCGGATTGTTGTGGTGAAGAGGGAGCAGCATCTGCAGTCAAAGCTCTGGAATTACCGCTTTCCCGCCCTTACCTGTGGTCATGAGCTTTGGGTAATGACAGAAAGGGTAAGATTGAACGGTCGAAACGAGTTGCTTCTGCAGAGTGGCTGGATGCTCTGTTAGAGGAGCTCAGTCGGGTTGGAGTAGATCTGCTGCCTCTCCACGTCGAGAGGAGCCAGTTGAGGTGACTTGGGCATCTGTTCCGGACGCCCTGTGGAAGACCCAAGACACATTGGCGGGACTATGTCTCTCTTTTGGGCTGGGAACACCTCTGGACCTGGCAACCGATAAAGCGGAAAAACATAGATTGATCTAGTGATGATTCAAGCCTGTATGTGCGCTGCTCCGCTCCTGAGGTCCCCATCTCTCCCCTCAAACAAACTCAATGGAAAAGAATCAATATTTGAAAAATTATATCAGAACAGGAGGAATGAGTGCTGCAGGGTCCAAAAAATATTTGAGATCAGGTGCTCTTCAGGAAGAGAAACGATAAAGAAAAACAAAAAATACCCTTTTGCATGGAAAATAAAGACAGGGTGAAATCCGAGGCACTCTGATAAAAAGTCCTTTAATGCAGAAGGGACCAACGCGTTTCGGCCACGCAGGGCCTTCTTCAGGGCAATGTAAGAAAACATTGAATGAACGGGTGTTAAAATAGACAAATGACATCCACTAAACTAGTCACCTGACACACAAGATCAGCCTCTATTGGATGAGACATTGAAGGAACGCGTATGATAGGACCAGTGACGTCCACAGGACTCGTCACGTGATACAGTATATATATCCTCCCTTCATTTAAAAAGAATGAAGGAATGGAGGGAGGATATTAAAACTATTGCAGACATTACAAGGTAAGTTACAAAGACCAAAGTAACACACAAAGATATGTAAGCAGATACATTACCAGAGGGGCCCCCCAAAAAATACCTAGTCAAATTGACAGAATACCGTGCAAATAATAAAAATTATAAAAACACTGAGAAGTCAACATCCTCATTTAACCCCGGAAAAATAGTGGCTTGAAAAATTATATATACGGATGTTTTCCCCAGATTTTTTTATAGTGATTCACAAAGCTGCCATATTATTTTGTTGTCTTTAAGTTCTTTTTCACTGGCAGCCTATGTATTTTCGGTTGGTATATATCAGGGGTCGGCAACTCAAAAAGTTCAAAGAGCCATATTTGAGCAAAAATACAAAAAACAAATCTGTCTGGAGCCGCATAAACTTTACTGCCTTTTTTAAGGTTTATATGAAAGCAACACAGGCTGTAAGTTGTATTAGCCTAGTATCAAAATGAGTAAGTATAGGCTGCAAATACATAATATGCATTCATGATTATTATATATATATACATTTTCACTGTAGTGCAAGACAATGACGCACCATGTGACTACTCTGCTATACCATATATGCTTTAAGTTTAACTTTCCTTTTGTTGCGTTCATGGCTCAGTTCTCATACCTGCATTACAGCACTGTCTGTTCATATCCATCACGTCACACGTCGTCACAGGCTGGAGTTTGCTGGAGCTGAATGTTCCGAATGGTGTTTTGCACTTTTTTGTTCCTCGTGTTGCAACAAAATTCAGCCATAGAAGTTTGGAGATAAATCCGCTCCAGAATAACTGCGATCGCACTGTTTCTCTCCAAACTGGGGTCAGCAGCCAATTTTCCACATGACTCTTTTTGTTGTTCAATATATTCTCACAAAGCAAACATGAAGCAGTCCTTCCTCATTGTGTCAATGAGAGCCAAATGTTACAGTCCATTTTTCCTTAAGTTCCTGGTTCTTATCAACTATTTCCCTTTTTAGCTTTGGGATTTATGCGGACTCATGTGGCACATGCTGGTTTGTTTACAACAGCGGCCGCCCGGCGCGGGGCCGCGTAACCGCGCATCGTAGGATATGACGCAAATCTCAGTTGACACAAATGTTAAAATTGAATATTTCTTATGCACATTTTTACTGCATTGGAAAAGGTTAAGAATGTTGTCCCTCCAACAGAAACCACATTGAAACTAGAAATAAAATATACCCTTCCCACTCCATTTTCAGACATTTTTGAAAAGGCTCCAGGAGCCACTCAAGGGGCACTAAAGAGCCGCATGCGGCTCCGGAGCCGCGGGTTGCCGACCCCTGGTATATATCAACAGCCTGTATCTTGATCATAATATAGGCTGCGCTGTAGAGACTGCTGCTCCTGACAGAAGCCCTAATGCAGCCCTATTCAACTTGCTGCCAGTCCAGTCGTCCAAGATGTGAAAAAATTGAATTGTAACTGAATTAGAAATTGTGTTTGTTTATGTTTATGAATGGTGATGTGTACAGTTATCCGGCCCAGAGCCCTTTTAGCCATTCAAAACATTTGGTCTTTGGGAAAAATCAGTAGAATATAGTGGCATTTAAGGATGGGTCAATGTATAGGACACATGCTTGGACAAAAAAGTATACCTTTATGGCTGCCATGAATTTCACAGATGTCGTTCATCATCAGTCCAAACATACTCTCCGTATTTCTTTAATTGTTGATTCTGTCCGCTAACCTCCCCACTCTCTCTCTCTCTCTCTCTCTCTCTCTCTCTTTCTCCCTAGAGTACATCCAGAAATATGCAACGGAGGAGGCCCTAAAGGAGCAGGAGGAGGGCGCAGGCGACTCCTCCTCCGAAAGTTCCATGTCGGATTTCTCAGAGGACGAGGCCCAGGACATGGAGTTGTAGTGATCACCTTAAACCAGAGACTATATCTATTTGGGTTCCTAAACACGGCGAACGCAGACTTCGAATATTCATATTTAAACAAGTTGATTTTTTATTATTATTATTATTATTATTACAAAACGAGGATTTGTATGGATAGCCTTCTGGTGTGTTTGAGACGCCGTATGCCCTCTTCTGTAGCTGTTTTTAATTTTTTTTTTATTGAAATGCTCTTCACAATCTCTTTTTTTCCCTTGAAGATGTAGTGTTGACCAGAGGAGCACCTGTATCTCTCACAGATTTTAAGATTTCTCTAAGATTTCTTATGTTTGTAGCGCATTTTGACCAAATGTGTGGGGATGTTTTTCTCAATGCAACTTTGATTTATTTTCAAAATCAGATAGTTTTGCTTTAAACCCAGATTTTGGATTTTGTGTTGCCCCTTGCGTTTGACTGCAGAACTGTACAATTTATATTTAACAAACCGTATCTTCAGTTTCTTCCAACTGGACAACAGCAGATGAATAAAATTGTATTCTCTTCAATAGGTCTTCAAGAAAATCCCCCGTTTGAGGATGTAATTATATTTCAACACATTGTTACAGCTGGAAAGTGAAGCAGTATATTATATTATTCTACTTTCATTATTATCTCATCATTATTTTCAAATTACATACAGGGATGCACCAATATAATACTGGTATTGGATATTGTGCTGATCCAAGAGCGGACGGTGGATCAGATGTTGTTTAAGTTGAGATTCTGATTGGGCTTCTTAAAAATGGACTAACACTTTTTTACTGGTTGATTATATCCCAAAAAGTTAGCTGTACACTTACAAAGCATAAGAACATGGACTCTATTCTGCGTCGCTCCCAGACCGGTCAGGCCACTTTAATTTAAGGTCCAGTCTCAATGCGGGGCACTGATCATATGGAGCCCTGTACCATTTTCAAAGTGATTTGTGACTTTGCCTTAGCACTCAAACTTTGGAACAGTAATTGTAAATATACTTGCTAAATATACTGTATGTATAAGCACACTTCTTCTTTGTGCGTTTGATTTTCACACAGGCTCGACTGCAGCAGCACAAGTCATTTCCTTTTTGCAGCACAATTGAAATGTGATGAACATAAACTGTACATAGATGGACAATGCTAACCCTCTAGCTTGATGAAGGCCATTAAGGAAGTGCTCATGGACAAATCTTTGCTCCGACTCACTCTGGCTCCTATTCACTTAAATTGACAAGTAAACTCCACAGTTACCTTATGATTCACACTGTACACTTAAAACAATCAGTAGTTCGAATCTTCCTTTTACACTAAGGGTGGTGTCAGTGTTGAGTTCATTTACTCCTGTGTGATTTATATTAACCAAAATCAAAACAATGACATCAGTGTGCTTCATCAATGAGTGTCCTATCTGTCAAAAAACATACATAAACCTTGTATCAGCACGGCTCTTCCTTGTACTCTTAAATACATCTGCTGGCCTTGTCTCAGTAGTATCCGGTTCGCGTGGTTACCGGTACATGCAGTGAGAAGAAAGGGTTTAATTAAATTACAAACAGAATACTACCTTAATTGGCGTGCAGGTCTTGTTCAATTGAATAAAGTGGACTAATTTAGAGTGTGATCCGATTTTCACTACTTTGTAAATGTACACAAATTTGTTCTGTAGTGAATTGCAGAATGAGTAGCAGTTATAGAAAACAATCTGATTCATGTAATTATTTAGTTGAAGTTTTATTAAATTATATTTTTAATGGATTTCTTCTCTTATGTTTTCTTATTCCAGGTCATGAGATATTGAAAGCCAAAGTTTCTGAATTGACAAAGTTGTATTGGTGCATCCCTCGTATCTGCGTCTGTGTACCGTTGTATTGTTGGGACATCTACAAACTGATAAACATCATTTGCCGTCACTTTAGCACTGTTAAAACATTTCAGAAATAAAATATGGAGGATGGTTAGAAGTTGTTGATAGCAACGTGATGGCACAAAAACTATGTAATTATCTAGAAAGGAATGAATTGTGTGACTGTGACTTTTCGCACCTCATCCGTAAAGGTTTCTCAAAATCACCTCCCGTGTTTTCAGTTTTCAGAGAAGTTTACGATGAGCAGTTCAGGTGTTTGCAAATGGCGCAAAATATGTATGCTTCAGTTGATAACCATCCGTTACACTAATACAGTCAATGAAAAAAACACAGTTGTATACTTAAAAAAAATTATAGTATTGTGTTACAAGGATAAATATATATTTTGAGAAAAATCTAAAACAAAGAAAAAAATCTGTGATCTGTGTAAAAACAATTGCATCTACCTGATAGAAAACGTACTCATGGTCCCAGTGGTGGAAAGGTATTGAAGCATTCATTAAAAGAGTACAAAAGTGGGGAGAAAGTACAATTTAAAGAACAAGTTTTTCTTTTTTCATTTCAAACCTGCAGAAGATATACTCACAATTATTCACAGGGAAGAAGTAATGGTGAAAACAAAACATTTCCAAATGGTTTGAAAAGGGATTGGATGAAGCTAAATGTAATACTTTCCACCACTGATGAGACTCACACTATTCGAAAACATGTCAGATGCCGAACATGGAATAATGTCGCGCCTTCCTCTACACGCTCCCACAGCTGACGTCCGGGCAGTTTGGCTGACATCACAGTAGCTTTAGTGGCTCGAATGTGGCTGTACAGCTTCGTAGAGACAGTAGACCTAGTTTTGTATCCAACTGACTTTTCAATACTCATATAATAAACCGTGAATAAACTAGATGACAAGGCTTGAGATCAGCATGATGTGAGAAGTGCACTGTGGACCTTTTTCTGGAGGAGAGGCCCAAAGCTCTGCAGTCCTGGATTATTTGTATTGCCCTCAAACGTCAAAATTATACATATTTATAGTTAGAATGCAAGTTTTTTTCAGTCTAATTCTCACAATTTTAAGGTAATATTGCTCCATGCTCACTACACAGTTATCACTAAATCAAGATGTTTGTTTTAAAACCTGTACAACATGATTTTACATTTAAACTAACAGAACAACACAAAAGCAAAATGGAAGAACGGCAACACAATAAAATATATGATAGAGAACACGATAACACACACACACATTAGACAGGCCCAAACACACTGACCCTACACTTCTTTTTGTTAAATGATAATAATTGATAAATAATACACACTATTTTGGGCCAATAAAAAGGATGAGAATAGTTACTCTGCCATTTCATGTTAAGAATGTGAACTATTGTCTTCAGTAGAAAATACATGGTGAATAGAACTACAAAACTACTGGAGTGGATATAAAAAAATATCAACCTTAAAAAATTTACTAATCCAAAAACAGACGAAGTTTTATAGCAATTTCTTTGTACTCAAAAGACTTCCTACAAGATCATATACGTCACACAATGTCTCTTGCGTTTTTCCTTTTTTTCTTCTTTCATTCATCTGCAAGTTTGTGGCTGCAAGATTAAAGTTCCACATTGCACTTTTTAAATGATCTCTTTTTATTAGGCGTTATGTGTTGATAATTTTCAGCATTTTTCCGCACAAAAAAATCTGTCTTGAAACCTTATACACATAAAATTATACAAATGCAGAGAAAATAATCCAATAGGGGATAGAGTAGAGGTATGTTTTTGTTTTCAACCGTGGTAGGGAGTTAGTTTATACCAGTTTCCCCCATTTTAAAAATTGAATGGATTAAATTATAAATTCAATATCTTCACATATTTTTTTAATAGTATTATTATTTCCGTTTTTGGTTGAGCCAAGGTGTAACCCTGACACAAACTTGAACCTTCGAGAATACTGGCGATCTTTGTAAATAGCAGTATTTTTGCCTAACTGTTCTGACGTTACAACAAATCCCAAATTTTCACTTATTACAGAAAAGTATATATTTTTAAATTAACATTAAAGTTTTATTTCTAGCATTGTGCACATGCAGCCAAGGCAATAAAGTCAAGTTACAAAATTCTATAATTTTATTCATTTTTTCTTTCATGTTTAGACTTAAGCTTGGTTTGCTAAATTATTTAAGAATTGTAACGTTTTGTTTGTATATAAATGATTTGTACGATACATTTTTCATCTTAAAACTGGCAAATATTCAATCCCTGATGGAAAAAAAAACAGCCAAATTTAGAATATTCATCATAATTTTAATTATTTATATGCTTTGTCTAAACTCAAATAACATGATAAATGTGTCACTTTGGCTAATAAAATGATCTGCTTAAAAACAAGTAAAACAAATGTATGTATTTTTAAAAAGTATTCTTTGTTATTATTGTAATTTGTCCTCAAATGATATGGCCTCAGGTGAAAATACTATCAAACTACTCAAATCATTTATGCCTATTCTGTATTCCACCTGTTTTGTTTTCATTTTCATGTTTTGCAAAAACTGATACAATGTAAGACATTGAAGCCTTACGGCTGGGTATATAATTTTGCTTTATTAATAACTGATGTTGTCCCAACATAAGGAGTCTTGTAAAAGTAAAATCCATCTATCCATTTTCATTCCTTTAATCCATTTCTGGGGCGGAGGAGGATGGCCGTAATGTTTACCTTGGTCCTTTAGCATGGGCTTCAGGCAGAGGGACAAAAAGTAAAATGTTGTTAACAAATCATCATTTTTGGAAAACTCCATATATTAACGAGAGGAGTGATAGAAACAAACTGTTATATTTATACTTAGTTTTTATTATATATTTACACTTAGTTTTTATTGTCTCCAGTAGGTGACACACACACACACACACACACTAAATGTAAAAGAACTCAAACAATATATTGCATAATAATCCTGTTTAGAGAGTCCTCTATCCCTGATCTCCTTGATCCCGCCCTTTGTCAGCTGTCAATCACATCCCGCCTCCTCTCTCCTCTACTGCATCTCCTCGGGGGTGGGACTTTCTCACAAATACGAGCAAAGCAAAGCTTTATTTGCAGTGCCAGAGCACCACACTTGTGCACTGGCATGCTGTGGAAT